AGTTATGCAACCGGTTGCAGGAGCTTCGACATAGTCAGCGTGTGACTGGACGGGTATTCTATCCAGCTCTGCTTATACGTTGTCAAAAGCCCCCATCATATATGTTTGTTCAACGTTCGGCTTGCCGTAATTCAATTGGGTCGTTTTTAAATTTTCGCTGCACTGCGGCCTGGCCCATCGGTATTTTAGCATTGTGTTTGATATCCCTACTCCAGTAGATCTGACCCCATTGTTCCGATCAGTACGATTGCTTTGCTTTTGTTTTTCCTCTTGCTCCGTCCTCCTCCTATTTGATAGGTCGGCTGAACACCTTTTTGAATCAGATCTGCGACCCTCTGATCAGATTTTCTGGATTTTGTCCGACACATTGAGCAATTTTCTGTTTTAACCAAGTTCCTATTGTTCTACCATTTTTTCTCGTTTACTGTTCATATTCTCCTTCATTTTATCCGCTGTGTTTTCCGTTTTCATTGTAATTTCCACTAGTTTTTCTGTCTTCATGTACTGTTTTGGAATCGATGGTTCTGGAGTTTTCTTGCCTTAAGAAGTGTTATATCTGCTGATTCGCCGGCCTGTGGCATCTGCTGCTGACCAGCTCCAGTGCATAGTGGCGAAGAGAAAAGATTCACGGAAGGGAACACAAAAGCTATATTCCAAAAAAGTGGTTCCGAGGGCGCGAGTGCGAAAAGTAGAACGGCCTCAAGCTTTTTATTGGAAGGACACTGTCTGAACTTGGTCCAATGCTGACGCACGCGGTCTGGCTTTAGTACGAGGCAGCGACGTGCTGCATACTGCGGAGGCGTTGTCTGTCCTTGATCAACGCTGACTCGCGCTGTCTGGGTTTGATGCAAGGCTGTGACGCGCTGCATATTGAGGGGGCGTTGTCTGTCTGGTCAACACCCAGCGGAGCTGAGAGTCTCCGTAGGTTCCGGGCGTTCAGTGGTTGCTTTCAGGAAGCTGACCTTCCTGATACCTCCCCCTTCTGAACGTTCAACATAAGCTTTTCGACGGGGATCAAGTTGTAGAGGTTCCACCCTTTTTCTGGTGCGACCGGTACGGCGTCTTGGTTGCAGCAATGGATCTGTCTTGAGCGGTACACGCGAGGCAGTGGCTATAGGTGCTGGTCTTTTAGAGATCAAAGGTTTCAAGCAGTAGTTTGAGGTCTAGTAACTGTTCTTCCGCCTTTGGGATCTGACGCTCAGTCGGCCGTAATTGATTGACATGTCGTTTCCATATCAATGATCCCACTTGGACGCTGTAAATCACCTGACCGATTCTTTTGAGGACGACTCCAACAGTCCATCTTCGGTGCCCAGGGCGATAGTTCTTCACAAGCACATGGTTGCCAGGCCGGAATGTTGGTTTTCCTCCTGTCGGTGATTGAAAACATGTAAGTGTTGGTAGGATAACGTCATGGGCAAGTCTCAACCGTCTGTTCATCATAACCTCTGCTGGAGAGCGACCGTCCGGAGACTGTGGATTAGGAGTTGCTCTATAGTTCAGCAGGAACGTATCCAGCACTTCTGTCGTGGTCCCCTCCCCTTCTGCTTTTGTCAACGAACGTTTAAAGGTGTCAACGAACCGTTCAACTTGACTGTTGGATTGGGGATGGAATGGTGGAGAAGTAACATGTGTGATGCCGTGTCTTCGAACGAATTCGCTAAACTGATGGGATGTAAACTGCGTACCATTGTCGGACACAATTGTTTCCGGGATACCGAATATTGAAAATAAATGTCGCAGTTTAGTGATGGTTGCCATCGTTGTTGTCTCCGACATAATGAAGACTTCAGGCCACTTACTAAATGCATCGACAACGATGAGGAAGCTTTGTCCGTTAATTGGTCCGGCAAAATCCACATGGATTCGCGACCATGGTTCTTCTGGCTGTGGCCAAGGCTGAGGTGACTGTCAGTTGAGTAACTTCTGGGCAGCTTCGCAACGGAAACAACTTCGACATAACTGCTCAATGTGCTCATCCATACCGGGCCAGTAGACAGCTGCGAGCAAGAGCCTTCATGCAGTTTATCCCTGCATGTCCACTGTGGAACTGTGCTAGGACCCGTTGACGAAGTTCAGTGGGAATGACAATTCGGTCACCAAAGATAAGACAGCCATTGACAACAGATAGTGAACTCCGTCGCTGAAAAAGTTTCCGGAGTTCCCCTGGTGGACTGGTTGTTGGTCAGCTTGATTGGTGGTACTTCATCGCCATTTGTAATATGCTGTCATTTTTGGTGGCATCTTGCACCGCGTCAAAAGTCACGGGTAGTTGGTTCATGGTGTCCAACACCACAGCACGGACTTCCGGTCCTGATTGGCTGCGTTTGCTTCGTGACCTCTGGGTTTGACCGCGTCTTTGGCTAGCTTTCCTCGTCCGGCACTGGCTTTCCTTGTGCCCACGTCGATTGCACACTGAACATTTGTGCTTTTTGTACGGACACAATCGCACAAAATGCCATTCGCCGCATTGCCAGCATGCTGAATAAGGTTTTCCTCCTTTCGAATTTGTCACCACGGGAGGGTGCTTCGATGTCGTCTTGGCAATGTTGAACGCAGGGTTGGATAAGGGCTTCTCCAACATGGCCGTGTCATGCTTAAGATTTAAAAGGCGCTGGCACTCATGGGTAATTGACTGCAGCGTTATCTCGGGAGTTTGTTCAATCTTGCTCAATAGTCTCGCCCTGATATCACTGTCTGAATGCGACTGAAGACCACATATGAAAATAAGGCACTTGAACTGGTCTTCCGTCATGGTAGATAACTTGAATTGTTCGCATTCAAGGTTGACTCTACCGGCATAAGTGATGTAGTCCTCAGATTCCGTTTTCGCCAGTTTCATACATTGGTAGCGAATATTAAACAAGGACGAACGCTCACCGAAAATCATTGAGAGTTGCTGCACGGTTTTGTCAAAACTGAGATCTCGCGTGTTCTTAGGCAGGATAAAGTTGGAATACCGTGTGTGTTCCGTTGTGCCAAGCTTTCTGAGCAATAAGCGTACTCTCCAGGCATCGTCTTTGTGCCAAAAAAGGGGTTGTGAGAGCACGAGTGTGTGCGAGTGCGAAAAGTAGAACGGCCTCAAGCTTTTTATTGGAAGGACACTGTCTGAACTTGGTCCAATGCTGACGTACGCGGTCTGGCTTTAGTACGAGGCAGCGACGTGCTGCATATTGCGGAGGCGTTGTCTGTCTGGTCAACACCCAGCGGAGCTCAGAGTCTCCGTAGGTTCCGGGCGTTCAATGGTTGCTTTCAGGAAGCTGACCTTCCTGATAAGAAGTCATTAGATTGGCTCAGCTTCACCATGTATGTTTATAGATCTATTAGTTGAGTACAAATTTAGCGTATTCATGTTTATTCTTTTTTCCAGCTTCGGATAGTATGTGGGCTTGGTTAAAGGTGAATTCGTTTCCTTCTCGGTTTGCATTTACGGAGAGAACTGAATGTGTATTCCGAAGTAGTGTCCTTGGAGTATGGTCGGTATTTAGTGATACTAAGAATACAACTTATCTGTCAAGGGCCAGTGAAGAACAAACGATGAAACCTGGCTCAAGGAAAGTGGTTATTCCATTGGCTGTTATGTAGTCCCGTTACGCTTGGAGCTGGTTCTCCTATTAATTGGTATCATTGGATTTCCCTAATAAATGACTTGTTCGATTTCACAATTGGAAAAGTATCGTCTTCTCAAGGAGCAAATGAGTGAACCTCAAGGCATTGCGCTGCTTCCTGTAGCTTGTGATCCTAGTTGTGTCTATTCTGTATGTTCGAAAAGCTCTCAGTATAATCTTACGTAGTCAGGCAAAGGCAATTCGGATTCAGATAATTCAGACAATCCAGATTGTCTCTCCACTCCAATACGCTCCTACTCTAACAAGGCACTGATGATGTCATCTCGATTGGTAATGAAACGTCCGCAACCGAATGGTTCAGCTTGGTGAACAAACCAAAGACCATCTCAATTCCATCTTTTCTGGGAATATGATTGAGATCGCATGGCTAGTCAAACGTCCAGTAAAGGTTATCCTCGCACAACTGAGGTCCGCAGCGAACGATATCATAATTTCGAATCGCCATTTTGTACGTTCTTCGGTTAGTGTGAACTGCCGTGCTCTGTCGCTCTAATATTGGGATACACTAAAAAAAATATGCGCATTTCTCCGCAGTTCATTTGACACGTTGTGCGATTGTGTCTCAAAGGGTGATACCACAGGCTGTGGCGATACTTATACTTTCTAATGTTGGCCTTTAGAAGACAGGGAAAGCGAGTATAATTCTGGTCCTGTTTTCTTTTGGGAGTTGTTGCAGGCCCAGAAGCACTCTGATCCTTTTGGTGGTTTTGTTTACGCGTTTTTTACTTTGGTATTTTATCTGGGCGATAATACGTAATGATGTATTTGAGCAGGTTATCTGTTTTGTTAGTGTTCCATATCAGCGTAAACAGACTTTGAGGAACTAATCACTTACCAATCCACTGACAAAACACGGACATCTTTGCAACAAATTCGTTTTGTTTACTGATTTACCACGACAACTTTGAAGGCATCAAACCTTTATTAAGAAGAGTACCCAAGTTTAGAAAATTTTCGTATTAGAATAAACTCTGATTTTTGTACTATGGCAATATGCGGTATTATCGCTAGAACCCCATGTGGTTACAGTGTTTTCCACCCGAATATTCAGATAATAAATCGTTCTCTTACCAAGTTGGGCTGAGTCTATATTTCACCCGGTAGTTCGAAAACCCAACCAAAACATACTTATGAGTTTCAGAGGGAACTGATAAACAATCGTTCGTTTTTCATTGGGTAACGTTACGCTTTGGACACAAAAGCTTCATCAGACCAAGTGAGCAGGTCACCAAATTGGCCAGGTTTTAAGACGGACGGAAAAGCAACCCGTGAGACGTCTTCATATTAAAGCACTGGGTCGGTGATTAGTGCCACTTAAAGGCTAGTAAGTTTTCCAAAATTTTGCACTGAGGGGTTGGGGGAGTTTCAAATTAGCTCCGATCGGGTTTAGTTCTTTGATCTTCCACTTTAGGTGGCTTCAACTGATGATTCATCGCCGGCTCCACTGATAGACTTCGTTGGTCTTTGTGGGCTTGTGAATGTTGCGACAATTCAGTTGGGGGAAGGAAGGTGGGTAAGGTTAAGTGGAATTCACTTGATGACTAATCCTTCTAATAACAGTTGTCAGCTCGACTGATCCCAAACCGTTCTCCACATGCTCGCCAGTTCCACGCCATGGTCTCACCCTTCGAGACAGTCTCAGAACACATCAAATGAACTACGGAAAAGTTCACATAGTTTATTAGTGCATCCCAATATTAGAGTCACAGAGCATGACAGTTCGTACTAACCAAAGAATCTACAAAACGGACGATACGAAATTATGATATCGTTCGCTGCGGACCTCAGTTGTGCGAGGATAACCTTTACTGGACGTTTGACTAGCCATACGATCTCAATCATATCCCTAGAAAAGGTGGAATTGAGATAGCCGTTGGTTTGTTCACTGAGCCGAGCCATCCCACTGCTAACGTTTCATTACCAATCGAGATGACATCATCAGTGCCTTGTTAGGGTGGGAGAGTAGTGCAGCGTAGAGACAAGTCGGTTGTACACGACCACCGACCCATCGCTACGCTCCCTAACAACGCACTGATAATGTCACCTCGACTGATGAAACGTTTGCAGTCAAAATGCTCATCTCAGCGAACAAACCAACGACTCTCTATGCTACCTGAGCTACTAATATTCTCTTCTATTGAACCAACATGTCCAGATGCTACATAAAGAACCAAAGGTTTGATATGCAGATAAACGTACAAATGACACTAGCTGAATAGCGAATTGAAATGATTAAATTTCAGTTTCAAGAATAAATGGGTAGACTAATAACTTTGTAAATCACTTGCAATCCCTTCGCAAACGTTTCAATACCAATCGAGGTGACAGCATCAATGCGTTGCTAGGGAGCGATAGGTTGGTGGTGACTGATGATGAAAAGCTTGCCATCAATTTGCGCAGCTCAGCGAATAAAACCAAATAGGATGAAGTTGTCTTACTGATTGCTTTCTCGTCTGCTTTTAGACCTGACCAACTTGATGATTTCCTCACTTGACCTGATTAAGCTTTTGTGTCAAAAAGCTAAAGGCTACCCAATGAAAAAATAACGATTGTTTACGGAGCCTTTCTGAAACGATGACTTCCAAGTAGGCTTCAAACTGTTTCCAACTGACTGCATACCTATGAGTTGTTTTGACAGCTTACATCTCTGAGAACCCATTCATTTTACCTAGATATATTTCTCTGTTGAGGAGACATACACGTTTGACTAAATGAGAGAGACTGTTGCGAATTTTAACACTGAGATTTAAGATGAAAATTCCGTGTAAAATTCTGCATCGTGAAAACAGTGGTCGTCAGTGCGTCTTCGGTTACTTTGTACCTTCAAGTGGGTAACAAATAAAAGCAAGGGAGTGTCTTCAACTAGTGGTGTTTTCGCACCCACATTTCAGGCCTGAACGTTCAGCGATTTTGATTGGCCAATTAGATAGATATTTTGCCAACGGTGACTGACCAATCAACGATTAGTTACTAAGTCTCATGGCAGAATTTTCATGCATTTGGGAAGCAGCAACACTTAGACCTTCTTTCCTGCCTCATGCCCAAGCTATCAGACACAACGTCAATTTGATGAACGCATTTATGATTCCAATATATCTGTTTTCCACGAAGTGAGGAACTCAGCATCTTTCAAACACTTTTGACAGGTGTACCAATGAGGACCAAAATACGGTCTCTACCATTCTTCACACCACATTTGTCAAGCATCAGTGACAAAGTCAAACATTCCCTACGTTTCAGAGTAAGATAGATAAATATTTATCGTTGTTCATGCCGCAGCTGTACCGTGACTTCTACAGTGCTGGTGCCGAAGACCTACAATGGAATTCAGTTTGAATCCCTCCAATGTGACGAAAAGTGGATGTCTCTTCTCACGGTGCAAAACTTTCAGAAATCAACAGTGCTTCCATATTCGGAATATGTTCAAGACAAACGCAACTACCAGTCGACAACAAAACTACAGTATCTTGATTGAAATTACTTAACGGACAAAATAACGTTGTCCACAAGGGAAAATCGCGATCGTGAAAGCACATTTATCTCGTCAGATCATATGGGCTGCATTCAGTGTATTACGGTTATTACCTTTTTGCTTTCCATTCTGGATGTCGCCGTAGTTGTTGCAAACTCAGCCGTCATAGCTATCGTCATTACCATAAATCACCTACATACCATATCGCATTATCTGATTGCGTCATTAGCAGTTGCGGACTTATTTGTAGGATTGTTCGTCTTACCGATAGCCATCGCGGTGAACCACATTGGCCATTGGCCGTTTGATTTACAACTGATATGTCATTCATGGATTGCTTTTACCATTCTGACTTGTCATGCATCGATAACGAATTTGTGCTGCATTTCGATCGACCGCTACATCATCATCGTCCATCCTAGGTTTACAGACCTACTACATTCTCCACTCATGGCAGTCACAATGATCACACTGTGTTGGAGTTTGCCAATCCTCACTGTAACCAGTGCATTGATTGGACCAGTCGGTCACGTGGCCCATTCAACCGAATGCCGAGTTTCACTGAGTTTGCCATTTCGTGTTTACACTATAGTTGTCTGCTTCGTCATACCACTAGTCCTCCTCGTGTTCATATATTGCCGCGTTGTAGGGGTTATAAAGCAACGCTTGACAAACTCTGGCCCTTCTCACAGTCGACAAGCTAACTCTTTACATTCGAATGATAAAAGTTTGACTTGGACACGTGAGTGCAGCCGTAGGGTGACCAACGCACAAAACTCCGTAAACAGACCTAAACTCGTGTTTCTAAATTATCCTGGATCAACACACTTTTTGGGAAGAAAACGTGCACAAGATTCCCAGTGGCGTCATCAAATCAGTGAAAGCCTCCGCCATTCAACGGCTATTAGGAATCAAAGTGTCCGCCTTCCCAGATATTTGCCAATCACCATAATAAACCTGAAATGCTGTTTAGGACGGGATCAACGAAATGCAAATTATGCCCAATACCTGGACAAGGATAGTCGCCTTGAAGTAATCGGAGTTCATCAGAATGGAATAAACGGGTGGTTTAACCCGCAATCAGAATCGTTAAAACGGCCAACCAGAATAAATATATCTTCCCTGATTGTGAATGGGCATAATAGAACGTCACATGGCCTCCAGAAAGATAAAAGTGTTACATCGTATCCGAAGTTACCGCCATTTGGCAAACAAGTACAGAAAAGCAGTTCGATGAACTTTGGCGAAGTGGGGTATTCCGTATCCAGACAACGATATACTTTAAGCAAATCAAATACACTAGAGTGTTTTTCTGATCTGAAAAACGACCACCCGACTGAAAAACCTCAAGAGAGTGCACAAATGACAACAATTTTGGCTACTATCACCGAAGCAAAGAGGCAACGTCGTGTAAAACAGAACATGAGAGCACTGAAAATAGTGACAGCCGTAATCGCCTGTTATGTTGTTTGCTGGCTGCCTTTTTTTGTTTGCTTTATAGCGGAGATCTTTATCGGTGAAATACGTGAGGAAATTACAAGGTATGTCAACATTGTCGGTTTCGCCAATAGTGTGTGCAATCCGTTTATTTATGCACTGCTTGACAGGCGCTACTCCAGTGCGTATGCACGAATCCTAAATTGCAAAGCAGCTCCATAACACATTCTTCATTCAGCCGCTCCACTTTGAATGCAAGTTTGTGTTTACTCAAGCGCTTCTCCGCATTAGCTCCATTGTAACGTGTTGTCGGTAAATATTTTTATTAAGCCTATAGCATTTGAACAACTGTTACAAGTGTTGTTGTTTGCTAAGCTATTTTTGTCTTAAAAATTCATTGTCATCTATATGAGTACTATTTTCTAACTGCGTCCTTTCCAAGATTCCTCTTGTTCGCTTCCAAGTTCATATTTTTACTTTAAACACTTATTTGATATTTCTTCCCGATTATCATCACTTGAGCAACTCGACAAACACTACCTGACAGGTGTCAAAAATGTTGGATAATTCAGATGATTCGTTGACGAATGCAATGAAGAAGCAGAGAGAATAATCTCACGAAAATATTGTGTTCATTATTGCGCAAACGTTATTCCATTCTCGGGTGAACAATATTCCTAGTTCAGTGGGACTAATTTTTGACAAACCCATCAATTAATCCTCCTTATATAAAATGCTTTGCCCAGAAATGGAGTCCTTCAGAAAAAGGACTCTGGACAGGCGGTTTGAATATTCCATACTGGATTCTTAGCTTTGCACTTATTTTGATTTTGTCTTGGGCCATCTACTTGCACTGATCTATAGTCGTTCAGCCGTAACACCCTTTCGGTGCTTAGCTGCCATGCTATCCAAAGGAAGCATGGTGGCTGGGATACTGCCAGGTTGCCCAAACCTAGACAGGGGAAGTCGGGAGGCGGAGGTTGGATTCGAGCCACGGACATTCCGGTCAGAGCTCTATACACTGATCCATCTCGCCCCCTTTGAATACAGTAGGTATCCGGATACCCTGAAGACTGTATACGTATCCGAGAGCTAGCAGGAACTAACAGAATCTTTAACCAATAGGAAAGAGTAAAGAAGATTGGGGCGATTGAAAAAGGCGAACTTATTTAAGGCTAATTTAAGGTGAAAGCGCCAAACCGTAGTACCTTATCAGGACCTAAAGAAACACCGATTAAGGTAGCAGAATGGCTGGGAATATCGCGTGCAGTAATCAGATAAGATAATCGTTTAGCTGTAACACCCCTTCGGTGCCTAGCTGCCATGCCATCCAAAGGAACCATGAGGGCTGGGTAGGGCCAAGGTTTCCCAAGCCTACACAGAGGAAGTCGAGAGGGGCTCTAACCACTGAGCCATCTGGACAATAGGAATCCGGTCGTTTCTGCTTAGTCGGGACAACCTTTTACAGCTTTGCTTAAATGGCTCAAACGTGCGGGATGTTAATCATACACGTCACAGACCAGTGACAATATACTGATCTATGGATTCCGGGTTTCCACGCGTCTTGGGAAAAGTGCTCTCCAGTTCTACTACGCAATTAGCGAAAATTCAACATTACATTACAGTGTTGATTGCCTAGTGTTCGACAATCATATGATCGACTCATATTTACTATTTCAATCACAGACACAGTCTGATATTTTGATATATTGTGTGAGTTACGGCATTTAGGAAAATTCTGTGCTGCATTCACAAACCTTTCGGGTTCTTAACTCCAAGAATGGACCAGATAACTTCCTGTCAAGTAACGCCATCTGAATTCAGTACACGATTTTCAAAATCGATATTTGGCTGCGTCAGTTCATCTGAAAAACTAATTTAAGGGTCCTCTCTTATCGGACTTGAAAGACTGTTTCGAATGTCAATGTTCAATCCAACAAAACGTCATTCACAGCGGTGACCAGTAGGAACCAGGTTTCCGGTGCCGAAATGTTTTCTTACCCAAAGCCAACTGTTCTGCTCTTCTCCCCATTTCCTGAACTCAGCATTTCGTTGTAGCTTGTTTTTGTTCTGAATCTAAAAATTTCTGCGCTTACTTTAAGAAGAAGTCGGCGACAAATCACACAGATCACAGTAGTAACAGTACTTCTGTTGCGCTATCCTGCAAAAGTCAATCGAAGTTCTGCCTCTTTTGACAGCTCTAGTATGTTCGAACGAAAAACCACTTTTTGTGTCACTGGCATAAGAAGATGGAGATATACCCAGCTCCAGTCGGACACTATCTAAAGAGCACGGGCCTTGCTTCGAGAGCGAAGAGTTTCCGAATTGCTCGCATCAGACGGCTAAGGACGGCACCAGACCACCTGCAAACAAATGGTCCAACTGAACGTAATAACCAAACGATCATGGAGTGGCTGGCGGCCAAAGGAGGTGACTAGGAAGTGAACTTGCTAATGGTGTTGCTAGCTCATCGTGCTTCCATACAGCTAACCACAGGCAAGTCCCCATTTATGCCGATGTACGGTCAACTTTCGGATGATCAGTAAAATGGGTTGCGACCGGCAACTCGCTTGTCTCCGGAGGAGCCAAAGGAAGAAGTGACGAAAGCTAGGGAAAACTTTATCGGCGTTCAGGAAAGGACTAGGCATAAAATGACAAGTAAAAATACACGACCATTCTCTATAGGCGCGAAGGTCAAGTGGAAGGATCGTCAGAATCCTATAATGGTTTCTGTCTGGGAGAGAGAAACCTGATCGACTTGCCACCAACTATCTTAACTGACTTGTCTTGTTAGGACAACTTCTTTAGTTCTAGATAGCCAGACTTGTCCAAGAATGGACTTCCTGTATTCGAGTTCAGCGCTCAACCGATCTTGGAGGTGTGATTATAAACCTGACATGCCTACAGATGAAAATGACTTTTATAATCTTCCAGCTACTTCCAGTACAACCCTCTTTGAGGAGCGCGTAATCAAAAAATACATAATTCTGTAATAGAAGCATGATTAATTTAGTAATTTCTGTATCTAGACGCGTTATATGTGGATGATCCAAATTCGGGCAATCCTAAAACAAAATTACTCGGAAGTTATGGACTCTTCTAAAGCGACATCGATCCGACGCCAAATCGCTAGTAATAGACTTACAGTGTTTTATTTCTTTATCTGTTCTCTACTGAAGCTTCATATTTGTGCGGTGTCTTGTTTAGGAGTGGCACCACTGCTCATATTCTATTTTTCAGCTAAAATATTTTGCCCCAAAACGCAGTGGTCTCAACTGCTATGGCTTTTTTCACTGACCGTAAAGAGAGCAAGAAAATAAGAGTCACGCTTTGGAGATGATGGAAAAATCAGTTGGTCGATGTCTACTGGACCTGGTTGTTCTATGTGACGACGAGTGGCAACTGCTCAGTGAAGTCGACAGCTTTCATGCAAGAACGCCATTGGCTGCCCAAGAGTCAGGGTCTTTAACTATTTGTTTAGCTCGTCCAGCGATACCCATTTAGGGAGACGCAGTAGGAGATTGCGGGTTTTGTTGCCATCGTCATGGGCTGATTCCCCTGGGTCGTCCCATATAAGTAAATGCTAAAGCGTCTTCCAGCAATTTGTTATTTTCCCAGCTGTACCAGAAACAAAGAAGTCAACAGCAGTTTATTAAATCAAGTGACACTGTAATGAATCCATGGATGCCAACTTCGTTTACAGTATCCCACAGAAAACTATAGAAATCATTATTGTCAGCACATTTATGGTGAGTGATACTTTCGAATACTGTGTAATTTAGATCACAATACTGTCAACTAAACAGTCCGAATTCCACCAGTTTCTTTCCATCGTCAAAAAAGTATGTTTGCATTCGAGAAGCCTGGTGTGGTCGACCAAGTGTGGACCACTCTACCTGAACAGACGCCGTTTGTGGCCATGCTTCACTGAGCTGGTGGGACACTTCAACTGCTTTGTTGCCTACCTAGTGAGAACCGATATGTTTACTTAACACTTTCAATATTTGTACTTCGTAGATACGCAACTTTATTCAAATTTCTATCGGCGCGACTCAATATTGTCCGATTTAACGCGTTTTTCCAAACATGCTCGACTTGTTTTTGTTTTAAATGCATCCAATTCTTCCATCCAAAGTCTCACAAAGTCTTCCGTAAAAACACCCCTATTATATGAGAATACTATCAAGTTCAGCAGATTAGCAAACAGAAAGACATTCTAACGAAAGGAACTATTCATGGGGAACATGAATAAAAGCAATTCACTTACTCCTAATTACCACTTTCTGTCCTAAAAATGCCGGGCAGTCTATTATCGGTCTAAATGAATACTTCATATTAAAAATTTATGGACTGTCGTATCTTAAACTGTTCAGAGCTATTTTCTACTGAATACAAGTAACGTTATGTTTCTATTGCAGTATGTTTCCAGGATGTTTGAGTTTTAAAAAAGCAGATAGCTTACTGTCTGGCGTCAAATGCGGATACTGTCACTTTTATAGTTCAAATCGGGCTACTAAATGATGTCAGGGTTTTTCGTATGGGAATAGGAAGTGCTATGTAAAACGAAATACCGGAAATAAGGGTGTTGCCTAGGTATCTTAGCACAATTGCCCATTTGACTGGAATTTCTCATACTACGCCATAGGTTGCATACTGAAGTGAAACACAATATGTTAGACGGTGTTTGCTTGTCCCTTGTCCTGCCGTACGAAATCTCATTTGGAAAGTTTACGATTAAATAAACACGTCACCTCTGGAAATTTTTATCAATAATCTGCGCGGCTTTCTTGTTCACTCTATGCCACAATCCTAGAATATAATTCTTGTCCAAGATAAACTTATTGAGGTTCTAGGGCGGCTAACAAAACCATGGTGGTGCGTCGTATTTCCTGGAAACAGCAGTATAACAATCAGTTGTTTGGGAGGCCCAGAAGGACTAATAGTACGGCACTGAGACAGGCTATAAATAAGTCTAGTACCATCTGTTTTGACTTCAACCCATTGGAAAATCTGAGCTCAGACAGAGTCAGCCGTCAAGAAACCACATATGGAGGCATGGAACTTTTGAAAATTCAACGTGTACTGATGCTGAAATTGAAAATTCACTTGATAACGACTCCCAATAGATGTCTCAGGGACAGTAAATCTATACTGCCTCCATGGTTGTGAACTCCAGTTAATTAGCGGAATTTAAATCCATGAAAACTAGCACACTTGTTCTAAATTAGCTGTTTTGAGGTGGGTTTGTCCAGTTTCTTTAGTGGAGTTTCCACATGCTTATCTACTCCACTCAATGCAGCTGGTCCCGGAGTATGGAATTACGTACCGTCGGTGGAAGAAATGCAAGAGAAATGACCGCCTATGTGGGCACCTCGTTGTTCATTAGGGTGTTATTGCTCATTAGAATATCATCATTCTAGACTCGCCGACGACTCTCAACAAGCTTCTAATAGTTCAACGATAGGGTGAGCAGATTTCCTATTGAGGTTTCATCTCATAAGTGAAGTCAATCTATGCTGAAAAGCCGGGAAGCACCGTACAACTGTTTAAATCTCATTAAGAGTCACTGACAGTGCGCATCTTACGGAATTCAGAGAGTTTCGACCAGGCGATCTCCCGACTAGTGGCTGAACAATTAACGGTTTGGCTAAGGGCGGCCACATATTAGTGTGACTGGCTCTCACTGAGACAGGATATGGGGCCTCTCACAGTTGATGTCAATAATCCAGTCATGGCTGATTAAAGGCATTTCAGAAGTATATTCTTGTCCTGTTGATTAGAACTGCAGTCAATGAGACGACTTGGCCCACTGCAACCCCTTATCAGTCATATTTTGAGAAAACAAATAATATTGTTAACGTCAAGATTTTCTTTGAAGTGAAGTTGACACGGGTGAAACGAATTCCGGAGCAATCAGTGGTTGCCACAATACTCATTCTACTCGCTAGATAAGTCAAACCAACGCACAGACTACCAAATAAAGAGACTTAAACAGTCTGTGCTGAAAAGCCAGGAAGCACTGTACAGCTGTTTCATCCTTATTGGGAATCATCAGCAATGCGCATCTCACGAAACTCCGAAGAGTCTCGAACTCGCGACATCCCAGCTAGTAGTTTGAACACTTAACCGTTCGGTCACGAGTGGCTGATCAGCAGTGTGATTAACTCGTACCTAGGCAGGATATAGCGCCGCTCATCCTTCAATCACGTCAATCACTTACAGGACGAAATATCCACAAAAATCCCAAATATCCTCACACTACCGACAAGACTTAAACAGTGTTTAGCCAATAAATCGGAAGCTGGTGGCAAGGTGGTCAAAAATGGTCGCAGTCTGCACCGCTGTTATTTATTTTGTCATAAATTCACAGGCGG